AGGCATAAAAAGGTAAAAAAAACATCATAGTATAGTGAGGCATAAAAATGTCTAAAAACATCTTAGAATAGTAAGGCATAAAAGGTAAAAAAAACATCATAGTATAGTAAGGCAAAAAATGTCATAGTATAGTAAGGCATAAAAAGGTAAAAAAAAAATCATAGTATAGTGAGGCATAAAAATGTCTAAAAACATCTTAGAATAGTAAGGCATAAAAGGTAAAAAAACATCATAGTATAGTAAGGCAAAAAATGTCATAGTATAGTAAGGCATGAAAACGTCAAAAAACATCATAGTATAGTAAGGCATAAAATGCCATAGTATAGTAAGGCATAAAAACGTCTTAGTATAGTGAATCATAAAAAGGTCAAAAAATGTCATAGTATAGTAAGGCATAAAAAGGTAAAAAAAACATCATAGTATAGTGAGGCATAAAAATGTCTAAAAACATCTTAGAATAGTAAGGCATAAAAAGTAAAAAAACATCATAGTATAGTAAGGCAAAAAATGTCATAGTATAGTAAGGCATAAAAAGGTCAAAAAACATCATAGTATAGTAAGGCAAAAAAAGGTAAAAAAAACATCATAGTATAGTAAGGCATAAAATGTCATAGTATAGTAAGGCATAAAAACGTCTTAGTATAGTGAATCATAAAAAGGTAAAAAAATGTCATAGTATAGTAAGGCATGAAAAGGTCAAAAAACATCATAGTATAGTAAGGCATAAAAACGTCTTAGTATAGTGAATCATAAAAAGGTCAAAAAATGTCATAGTATAGTAAGGCATAAAAAGTCAAAAAACATCATAGTATAGTAAGGCATGAAAAGGTAAAAACACATCATAGTATAGTAAGGCATAAAAAGGTCAAAAATTTTTATAGTATGAATAGGCGTAAAATGTCATAGTATAGTAAGGCAAAAAAGGTCAAAAATCGTCATAGTATAGTAAGGTATAAAATGTCATAGTATAGTAGGGCATAAAAAGGTCAAAAATCGTCATAGTATAGTAAGGCATAAAAAGGTAAAAAAAAACGTCATAGTATAGTAAGGCATAAAAAGGTCAAAAATTTTCATAGTATAGTAAGGCATAAAATGCCATAGTATAGTAAGGCATAAAAACGTCTTAGTATAGTGAATCATAAAAAGGTCAAAAAATGTCATAGTATAGTAAGGCATAAAAAGGTAAAAAAAACATCATAGTATAGTGAGGCATAAAAATGTCTAAAAACATCTTAGAATAGTAAGGCATAAAAAGTAAAAAAACATCATAGTATAGTAAGGCAAAAAATGTCATAGTATAGTAAGGCATAAAAAGGTCAAAAAACATCATAGTATAGTAAGGCAAAAAAAGGTAAAAAAAAACATCATAGTATAGTAAGGCATAAAAACGTCTTAGTATAGTGAATCATAAAAAGGTCAAAAAATGTCATAGTATAGTAAGGCATAAAAATGTCTAAAAACATCTTAGAATAGTAAGGCATAAAAGGTAAAAAAACATCATAGTATAGTAAGGCAAAAAATGTCATAGTATAGTAAGGCATAANATAATATGTTGTAAAAATGTCATTGTATAATATGTCATGAACTTATATATGTCATATACATATATGTTTAGCATAATATCTCAAAAATGTAGTATAGTAAGGTATAAAAATAACTAATGTTAGGTAACAAAGTATAGGTGACAAAGTATAGTTAGGCATAAAATGTCATAGTATAATAAGGCATAAAAAGGTAAAAAAAACATCATAGTATAGTAAGGCATAAAATGTCATAGTATAGTAAGGCATAAAAAGGTCAAAAAACATCATAGTATAGTAAGGCAAAAAAAGGTAAAAAAAACATCATAGTATAGTAAGGCATAAAATGTCATAGTATAGTAAGGCATAAAAACGTCTTAGTATAGTGAATCATAAAAAGGTAAAAAAATGTCATAGTATAGTAAGGCATGAAAAGGTCAAAAAACATCATAGTATAGTACGGCATAAAAACGTCTTAGTATAGTGAATCATAAAAAGGTAAAAAAATGTCATAGTATAGTAAGGCATGAAAAGGTAAAAACACATCATAGTATAGTAAGGCATAAAAATGTCAAAAATTTTTATAGTATGAATAGGCGTAAAATGTCATAGTATAGTAAGGCAAAAAAAGGTCAAAAATCGTCATAGTATAGTAAGGTATAAAATGTCATAGTATAGTAGGGCATAAAAAGGTCAAAAATCGTCATAGTATAGTAAGGCATAAAAAGGTAAAAAAAAACGTCATAGTATAGTAAGGCATAAAAAGGTCAAAAATTTTCATAGTATAGTAAGGCATAAAATGCCATAGTATAGTAAGGCATAAAAACGTCTTAGTATAGTGAATCATAAAAAGGTCAAAAAATGTCATAGTATAGTAAGGCATAAAAAGGTCAAAAAACATCATAGTATAGTAAGGCAAAAAAAGGTAAAAAAAAAACATCATAGTATAGTAAGGCATAAAAACGTCTTAGTATAGTGAATCATAAAAAGGTCAAAAAATATCATAGTATAGTAAGGCATAAAAACGTAAAAAAAACATCATAGTATAGTAAGGCATAAAATGTCATAGTATAGTAAGGCATAAAAAGGTCAAAAAACATCATAGTATAGTAAGGCAAAAAAAGGTAAAAAAACATCATAGTATAGTAAGGCATAAAATGTCATAGTATAGTAAGGCATAAAAACGTCTTAGTATAGTAAGGCATAAAAAGGTCAAAAAATGTCAAAAAAATGTTGTATATGTCATGAAAATGTCATTGTATAATATAAAAATGTCATTGCATAATATGTTGTAAAAATGTCATTGTATGATATTTAATAAACATATGTCACAAAAATGTCATTTTATTATTTCGCATAATATCTCAAAAATGTAATATAGTAAGGTATGAAAATGTCATAGTATAATAAGGCATGAAAAAGTCATAGTATAGTAAGGCATAAAATGTCATAATATAGCTAGGCATAAAAAGTTCAAAAATTGTCATCGTATAGTAAGGCATAAAAATGTCAAAAAACGTCATAGTATAGTAAGGCATAAAATGTCATAATATAGCTAGGCATAAAAAGTTCAAAAATTGTCATCGTATAGTAAGGCATAAAAATGTC